CAGAAGAGGAACAAATTTGAACTCCGTGTAGGAATCAGTCCTGTACATTGCGAGTTGATGTGGTACTTTACACGGCATTGAATGCTTTGGTCATTAGCTATAGGGTAAAGCTGGCTGCATGCAGGCTGTCCAGGGATATCACATCTTTTACAGTAGCGCTGCGAATGTCAATCTGCAGAGTGAAGTTGTTGATGTTGTTACAGGGTGGTACAGCTTCACCAGTGGCCTCCTTCCCGAGGCAATTCCCTGAAGTTGTCTCGTAATTTATACTTGTTATAATAGCACTGCGCATTTTTTGGAAATAAGCTTAGGGTCGACTGCTGATTGCTTTCTGCATTCTGGGAAATGGAGTGGACAGCCCTTGATCCACAGTTTGAGATTACAGCCTTTGAAACTACTTTGCCTTGTATGGAGATGGTTTCACGATCTTAAATGGTTATGATCCACAAATTAATGTCAGCTATTCGGGGTACCTTACACTGTGCGGGGATCAATTCACAGATATTGAATGGTTAGGAAAACACACCTTTGAACTATCGGCCATTCAACCATTCACATGTTTTCACAGAACGGGGATGGATTCCTGTTGGATCCCAACCCGCGGGTTGGGATCCACACATTCAAACCGATAGCCATTCAAAAAGTGTCGTACTCAAGTCAAGCTTGGTTTACCCGCGGGTTGGGATCTACACATTCAAACCGATATCCATCCAAAACCTAAGCTTGGATCCGGGTTGGGATCCACACATTCAAACCGATAGCCATTCAAAAAGTGTCGTACTCAAGCCAAGCTTGGATCCCAACTCGCGGGTTGGGATCCACACATTCAAACCCATAGCCATTCAAAAAGTGTCGTACTTTAAGCCAAGCTTGGATCCCAACCCGCGGGTTGGGATCCACACATTCAAACCCATAGCCATTCAAAAAGTGTCATACTTCAAGCCAACCTTGGATCCCAACCCGCGGGTTGGGATCCACACATTCAAACCGATATCCATCCAAAACCTTGGATCCGGGTTGGGATCCACACATTCAAACCGATAGCCATTCAAAAAGTGTCGTACTCAAGCCAAGCTTGGATCCCAACTCGCGGGTCGAGATTCACACATTCAAACCCATAGCCATTCAAAAAGTGGCGTACCTGGCCAATGCCAGGGGTGGCGCCTCAGTCATAATGGTGCGCATGCTGCGCCCCTTAAAGACTAGATCACCATCATACTTAGCCCGTATGCTCTTGTAAGCGGGACATTCCTCGAAAACATGCAACTCATCTTCAACCGCTCCACAGTCACAAAGCCTGCAGTTACGCGCGGTGCGCTCACGCCCATTAGGCCTATTAACCTCTAACTCCCAACAGCCTAACCGGAAACGCATGAGCACATGATGTAGTCGCTGGGGCATCAGTGTTTTTCTTAAGTATTATATTACTTAAAAGGAATAAACAGGAATTTTAGCCTTTGGAAAAAAGGAATGAATTGAGGCCGACCCTTACATTTTCATTCCTCCAGCCAAAAACGTCCATTGCTGCCAGATTGCTCCGTTGTGTGCAGAACTTAGTATTTTCAATCATAGATGCGCCCGTGTAGCCCATACGACATGAGGAAATCCCAAAGTGTCTCATGGTCAACGGAGTCGAACGCCTTACTAAAGTCAATTTGCATGATAATAAGCGGCCTGGCTCCAGTCACAGTGCGCCTCGAGATAAGATGCCTTAAATAATGTAAACAAGTGATGCTCGGTGCCAAAACCATGCCTACATCCAGCCTGGCTAGCGGCACGTAGCCTGTTGCCCTCACAGTAATTGGTGCCCTCACAGTAATTGGTGTTGCCCTCACGATGATATTGGCGTAAAGTTGCACAGGGGACCCCCAACTGCTATTCCCCGGTAATTGTCAG